ACATTTCATCTACTTTCATCAACACAAAACAAAAGTCTTCATGTCTCAAACAATGAGATGTCTGCATGTCTCATACAATGTGATGCCTGCATGTCTCATACATTGTGATGTCTGCATGTCTCATACATTGTGATGCCTGCATGTCTCATACAATGTGATGCCTGCATGTCTCATACAATGTGATGCCTGCATGTCTCATACATTGTGATGTCTGCATGTCTCATACATTGTGATGTCTGCATGTCTCATACAATGTGATGACTGCATGCCTCATACAATGTGATGCCTGCATGTCTCATACATTGTGATGCCTGCATGTCTCATACATTGTGATGCCTGCATGTCTCATACAATGTGATGCCTGCATGTCTCATACATTGTGATGTCTGCATGTCTCATACATTGTGATGCCTGCATGTCTCATACAATGTGATGACTGCATGTCTCATACAATGTGATGCCTGCATGTCTCATACATTGTGATGCCTGCATGTCTCATACATTGTGATGCCTGCATGTCTCATACATTGTGATGCCTGCATGTCTCATACATTGTGATGCCTGCATGTCTCATACATTGTGATGCCTGCATGTCTCATACATTGTGATGCCTGCATGTCTCATACATTGTGATGCCTGCATGTCTCATACATTGTGATGCCTGCATGTCTCATACATTGTGATGCCTGCATGTCTCATACATTGTGATGCCTGCATGTCTCATACAATGTGATGCCTGCATGTCTCATACATTGTGATGCCTGCATGTCTCATACATTGTGATGCCTGCATGTCTCATACATTGTGATGCCTGCATGTCTCATACATTGTGATGCCTGCATGTCTCATACATTGTGATGCCTGCATGTCTCATACATTGTGATGCCTGCATGTCTCATACATTGTGATGCCTGCATGTCTCATACATTGTGATGCCTGCATGTCTCATACATTGTGATGCCTGCATGTCTCATACAATGTGATGCCTGCATGTCTCATACATTGTGATGCCTGCATGTCTCATACAATGTGATGACTGCATGTCTCATACAATGAGATGACTGCATGCCTCATACAATGAGATGTCTGCATGTCTCAAACAATGTGATGTATTAATGTCACACACAATGAGATGTCTGCATGTCTCAAACAATGAGATGATTGCATGTCTCATACAATGTGATGTCTGCATGCCTCAAACAATGAGATGATTGCAAGTCTCATACAATGTGATGACTGCATGCCATATACAATGAGATGTCTGCATGTCTCAAACAATGTGATGTCTGAATGTCACACACAATGAGATGTCTGCATGTCTCAAACAATGAGATGATTACATGTCTCATAAAACGTGATGTCTGCATGTCTCAAACAATAAGATGATAGCATGTCACACACAATGAAATTCTGCATGTCTCAAACAATGAGATGATTGCATGTCTCAAACAATGAGATGATTGCATGTCAAACACAATGAGATGACTGCATGTCTCATAAAATGTGATGCCTGCATATCTCATACAATGAGATGACTGCATGTCTCATACAATGAGATGTCTGCGTGTCTCATACAATGAGATGACTGCATGTCTCATAAAGTGCGATGTCTGCATGTCTCATACAATGAGATGACTGCATGTCTCATAAAATGTGATGTCTGCATGTCTCAAACAATGAGATGATTGCATGTCACACACAATGAGATGTCTGCAGGTCTCAAACAATGAGATGATTGCATGTCTCATTCAATCAGATGATTGCATGTCTCACACAATATTATGTCTCATACAATGAGATGTCTGCATGTCTCATACAATGAGATGTATGCATGTCTCAAACAATGAGATGATTACATGTCTCATAAAACGTGATGTCTGCATGTCTCAAACAATAAGATAATTGCATGTCACACACAATGAGATTCTGCATGTCTCAAACAATGAGATGATTGCATGTCTCAAACAATGAGATGACTGCATGTCTCATAAAATGTGTTGCCTGCATATCTCATACAATGAGATGACTGCATGTCTCATACAATGAGATGACTGCATGTCTCATAAAATGCGATGTCTGCATGTCTCATACAATGAGATGACTGCATGTCTCATAAAATGTGATGTCTGCATGTCTCAAATAATGAGATGATTGCATGTCACACACAATGAGATGTCTGCATGTCTCAAACAATGAGATGATTGCATGTCTCATTCAATGAGATGATTGCATGTCTCACACAATGTTATGTCTGCATGTCTCAAACAATGTGATGCCTGCATGTCTCATACATTGTGATGCCTGCATGTCTCATACATTGTGATGTCTGCATGTCTCATACAATGTGATGTCTGCATGTCTCATACATTGTGATGTCTGCATGTATCATACAATGAGATTTCTGCATGTCTCATACAATTAGATGTCTGCATGTCTCAAACAATGAGATGATTGCATGTCTCATACATGGGGATGTCTCCATGTCTCATACAATGAGATGATTGCATGTCTCATACAATGTTATGTCTGCATGTCTCATACAATGAGTTGACTGCATGTCTCACATAATGAGATGATTGCATGTCACACACAATAAGATGTCTGAATGTCTCATACAATGAGATGTCTGCATGTCTCAAACAATGAGATGTATGCATGTCTCATACAATGTGATTTTCTTCATGTCTCATACAATGAGATGATTGCATGTCTCATACAATGAGATGTCTGCATGTCTCAAACAATGAGATGTCTGCATGTCTCTATCAATGCGATGTCTGCATGTCTCAAACAATGAGATGACTGCATGTCTCAAACAATGAGATGTCTGCATGTCTCAATTAATGAGATGCATATTACAGACAATGAGATTATTGAATATCTCAAGCAATAACATGACTGCGTGTCTCACACAATGAGATGTCTGCATGTCTCAAACAATTAGATGACTGCAAGTCTGAAACAATGATATTCAATATCTGTTTCCAATTAAAATAAACATTTAACTGTTTATCGCAATTGCATTTCTTTACTTCCTTTGGTGAAAGAAGAGCTCATCATGACTGCTTGTCTATTTACGACAAAAACTGTCCCTGTAAAACTTTGCGCGTCAAAATTCGCAGCATAATCTAAAAATAAATACAAATTTTCCCTCTCGAGCTGACGCATGGAAATGAAACTAATCATAACAAATATGTCGGAAATTTAACTTAAGAAAGAAAGGAATCGAAGAGGTGCAGCTATGTAAAAGTTTGCAATATATTTGCTTAGTATCAATAGCATTCCTCGAAGATTCCTTTTCCATCTAGTGCGTTTCAAACTGCGAAATTTTTACATCCAAAATAATTTTTAAATATTAGATACTAGATGACGGAAACAGGTTTCTGGTCCAGACAGTAAAAAAAAAAAAAGAAAATGTCTTGAATTTGCTATTCCCTATGTCATGTCATAGTTTTTCTAAGAAGCAATTTTTGTAGAATTTGTGTTCTAAACACCTTCTTTGACTTAATCGTTCACCTTCAAAGTTATCATGATGAGCAGACAGGCATAAATGGTAGATGAGATTATAACAGTTTTTCAAAATGTCTGAATGTAACTTACCACAAATATAACATATGATTGAGTCATCAAAAGATAGAGCAAGGGAGCGAAAGTCGAGAAATTCTGAAGAAAATGTTACGAAACAGAAAACGATAATAAATAATTTGAAACTCTACTAATCTCTGATAGCGAAAATCATTGCCGTAAATGTGAATGTTTCCAACAAACCGAACACAATCTAACTTACATGGCAGTGGCTCTTAACGTAACTTACATGGCAGTGGCTCTTAACATAACTTACATGGCAGTGGCTCTTAACGTAACTTACATGGCAGTGGCTCTTTACGAGTTTTGATATTTGTTTTACAAACAATGAATGACTTTCGTGGCGATTCGTCCAAGAAGCCCGACAGCAAAACCAACCATCCCCGAACATCCCCGCAAAGGACATCCCATTGGAAAACACAGAAAAGACGCAAAAGATCAACTTCGGTTAGCCGACAATCCCCTCCCACCGTTAAGAAATCCAATTCAATGAGTAACCTTGGCCTTGACAGAAGTAGAACGACGTGCAGCATGAAGAGCGTGTTGACAAACTCGTGTCGAATGCCCCGTATGCGTTCAGCTGATCCTTACCTTCAGATCGGCGAAAGTCCGCAGCTCACCCCCGACAAGCTGTTGAGGAAGAGTCGAATCATTAAACGGGGTTCTCCTAGCCCATTGAGAGAAAATAACTCTGCGCTGTTACCCCAGCAAAAAGCAGATGACAGCCGTCCGACCTCCAGGCCACCATCAGCAGTGGAGTTTAAGTGGAATACTCGAGACTCTATGAAAACCAGTTTCTTCACACTATCATCTGGGAATGACAGTAAAAGTGACGGTAAAGATGAGGGGCCAAACAAACCGTTAACTCCTTGTGGAACATACAAAAGAACTAGTATTAAAAAATTGTGTCCGGCCTTTAAGGCATCACCAAGAGGACAAAGTCCTGTTCATCACAAGGAGACGCCTGGAGTGCAGAGGACATTGAGTACAAGTAGGTCACCGGAACCCCAGACGAGCTCAAAATGTACGAGAAATTTAGCCGACACTAAGCGAGGATCGAACAGTCCGGCGGAAGAGCCCCAGATGAGATCCCCTCAGGGCACCAGGCCTCAAACACTGCGACAAGCGAATGGTGCCCCTGCAAAGCCGAGGAAACAACCATCACACCACCTTTTAAATGCATCGACTTATTCTTGCGTCTCTCATAGCTCCAAGTCACCGATGAAAAGCTGGGTGTGGTTCACAGACGAGTCAGGATCTCCCAGCAGAAACACAATCAACACGCCACCGCCTAGGGCAGACAAGGAAAAAATGCTTGAAAAGATGCTGCTGGATGCAATGAAATACTCTCCAAATACTGGCAGGGCTACCGGTCAAGTAAAGTCTAAGGTCAGGGCCGTTGGCTCACCAGAAAAGTTGAGAGCGGCCGCCGGCGATAGCCCAATAGAAGTTAAGGTGTCGCGACCTTCTGCTCAATCATTTCAAAAAATGCCTTTGAATGATGTTCAGATCAAGAGAGAGAATAGAATTCGTGACACAAAAGACATCCCAGTGGAGGATGTGTCTTCAATGCTGAAGTATCGATACTGTGTGGCTTCTCCAACATCAAATGAAACGTGCTTGAGTGAGTCAAGAAACGGATCTGGTTATAGTGGACTAGACACACTCAGCCCACCTTCTAAGCATAGCTATCTCTCCAGTGAAAGCACGGAAGACTCAGAGCTCAGTACCACCAGCGTGTCACAGGAGAGTCTGTTCATCAAACTGCAAAGAGATATGAAGAAAACGATACCACACGGCTTGGGAAACACTACAAATGCTCTAAATGCAACTCAAAAGATGACCGCGCCCATCAGCGTTCTAAACACATTGAGGGGCAGCCCAGTGTTTGTAGAAAACGAACTAATCTTTCAACCCAGTGTGGTATACGCCCCACCGATGCCCTACACAAATTCCACTGCCTCCATGTCTAAGCCTTGCGATGATAGCGTCCTTTCATCGTCTGTGGGAAACAGCGACATGAATTCAGAAGAAACGTCTATGTCCACTTTGACAGTTTCTTGTCCAGTTTTTGAATTTAACAGAGGTGAACAAGTTCCCCACTCGCCCACCATGATATGTGGAAAACCTCAGGTAAAACCGTGGACGCCTCTTGCATCCAAGCGCCAGGTCTTTAACTTCAAGAAAGGAATCGCTGCACTCTCCCCTGGGGACGTCGGTCAGGCGAGAACTCTGAAAAACTCTGCTTTCAGTTTTGGTTCATGGATGAGACGAGAACCGTCGACACAAGAGAGAGTTACCTCTGGCGTGGGCACAACAAGCGGTCAATTAGTTCCAAAGAAAGAAGGAAATGTAACCAAGAAAACGTCCGATATAAACACCGGCAATCATTTCAGGCGTAAGTGTCCCGACTTAAATAGAAATAAAGAAACCCTAAAGCAAGAACCTTGGCTTGAGGGCTTAATGGTTCCGCAAGGCGAGCAGGCGGGCATGAAATCCCCGGTCAAAGTGCAAAGACCCACGGAAGAAAAGTCGTCGCCCTATAACCGCCGTGTACGTCAGAAATGTCTTCGTGGTCAAAATCAGATCAGTACAAAGCCTGAAAATGTATTTCCATCGGATAAGACTTCTCGTCCCAACACACCCAGCACGAAAATGACCACGAACAATCAATTAGAAGAGGGCAATCAAACTGAACAGAAATGTGCTTCAAAACAAGTTAGTTCGACCGCAACAAAATCCACTACGGCGAGTAGTATCTATCAAAACTCCTTTCGAAAAATTAGAAACAGCCCAATATTTCACCACCTGATAAGAACGTTAGTTGAACATTTTGGCAAAATACGCCTGCCAAGCAGACAGAATTTCCCCGACCCATCCTCCAAACCCGCCTCTGGGAGGGCGACCCCCACGAAAAGCCGAGCAAATAAGGCTTCGCCCCCGTGCCACGATGTTGCCGTGGCTGCTGACCTGCCACTGGGAACACACCCCTTGGCGAACGCCTTCACGAACACTTCCGATTCCATCGAGGCAGTAACCTATTTGGGCGAGTCCAACATAAACAGCCAGCGGAAAATCAAAATCAGAGTCTCCGTGAATCCGTCTAAAAAGAAAGTTGGAAATATTTCATACCGAGAATCTGTTGTATCAAGCTACGACGAAAACAGAATTTATCTTCCAATGGTGCGGGAATCTCCGCATTCTGTGTCACCATACACGGATCTGACGTTAGCCGAACAAGAGCGAAACTTCCAGACCATCACTAACACTGAAATGTTAACTGGTTCACCTCGACCCTGTGTCGAGCGTAACACCGGCATAAACGGTGATGGCAGGTCCAGGAGTCAGAACTTGTCACCGGAGCTGAAGCCGGTACAGCAACAAATAGTTTCAACCATGTACAGACAAGTTACTCATGATGATGCCAAGGACTTGACCGGTTTCTACACTTTCTACTCCGAAAACGACGAAGAGTCCAAAAATAAAGAGGAAAAGTGCAGTTCTAAAACCTGGGATCAAGATATTGCCAGCTCAGCAACGTCTTGGGAAGATGCCGTGGAAGCCAGCCGCAAAGCCACGCCAAAGAAAATGGCGACACCGACGCGTTACACGGTTTTGAAAAAGGGTTTGGAGCGAAAAAGATCACTATCGAGAAGACTGCATCCATTGCTCCGTGAGCCGAACGTGAGAACCCTTATAAGATTCATACCGATAACCCTGCTGGTTCTGTCATTCTTCTATATTGTCCGCGCAATATCAAACCTGCCACATCGTCAGCATTGAATCTATTGCAAAGAAGTTTGGGATTAAGCGTTCGTGCTCTCCCCTTTATTTTGGTTGACCCGTATGTTGACCTACTGATTGCTGCTAATGTCGTGAATATTTTTTTTATACAAATTTTCAGAAATCAAGAAAAGTTATGATAGGATTGTTTAATTCAACGCCATTTAGAAAAATAATCCAATAAATGAAGAAACCTAAATGTTTGCCTTGTCGTATATTTCCAGCGTATGCTAATAAATGTCTTATTAAATGAATGTTAGTAGTTGTTCTGGTTTTTTGTTGTGGAATACAAATTGGCGGTTAGGGGGGTAAGGATGGGGAAATTATGGTTTGCTTAAAATATTTCTATATTGAATAAATGTTCAGTGGTTGTGTTGTGTGTGTGTGGGGGGGGAGGGGGGGGGGGGGGGGGGGGGGGAGGAGGGAATGGGTGAAAGGAAAAACAACAAAAAACCATCAAAACATTTATTCACAAGAATTTGTTAGGTTTAATTGTGAATTTAGATTTGTTCAGTTTGAATTGTGAATTTACCTTCGTTCAACTTTTATTGTAAAATGGGTGTTCTTAAATTAGGTTTGGAAATCAGAGTGGGAATTATAACGTGTTTCGTTTCATAAAAACACACACACACACACACACTGATTTTGCTTTTAGGGGAATTTAAATAAAATGTGCTCAGATTTTTTAATTAGGGTTTATTCATTTGCTTGGATTTTTTTTTCTTCTAGTCTTAATGTCCTTGGTTTCAAACATGGGAAATTGAAAAATAACACACGCATTACTAAATATTTAGCCTACCCCCACCCCCTCCCCCCACCCCCCCCCCCCCCCCCCCCCCCCCCCCCCAAGATATTTTAAAATTAATGAAATGTTTGCAGTTTGCACTCTGGTTGATTTGAATAGCCGCACTATCTATGGTCAAGTCACAGCAGACATTTAAACGTTAAGCCAAAATAAGTTGTCCAACTAAGATTGTCAACAATCGAAACCTGTTTACTTAAACATCCCCTAAAAACAAAGTTTTTCGCAAAAATCCTTTATAAAATGTAATCTTTAGAAACATTGAGTGAGGCTGAAATAGATGTACAAAGATTTTACTTTAACACTATTCATACACCATGGGTCATAGCTGTACTAAGATTTTATTTTTTTAATCATAAAAATGAAAGCCGAAAATTAATGTAATATTGATACAAAAAGCTTTTTAATGAAACCTAGAAACTTAATTTTTTTACTTTTGTTTAATATTAATATGTATAAAAAAAATATATATATATTTTAATTATCACAAGGCCGTTTTGGTACAGGGGCAATAAGCACATTACTAACAAATAAGGAAATCAGTTTTCACTATTGTCTTGGATAAATAAATTGAAAAACAATTTTAGTTTGTACTCTATTATCACAAAAACAGATGTTGAGACTGTGTGCCTATTATTATTACCCGGTATGCAAAAAGTTGTCTGACTCTGGCAAATAACGCAAAACAATTCAGGAGATTTTTTATTACACTTTTTATTTGTACATCAAATATTCCTAGAATGTCTAGATTCTAGATCATCCATTGTATGAAGCAGACATTTGATGAATGTAACAAGTTAGTAAATCCCAAGCTCTTATACATAACAAGAATTTCTTTTAATGTGATCTTCATTAATGTGATCTTCATTAATGTGATCTTCATTAAAAAAAATTTAGAGCAGCTGGTTTATAAATATAAGTATCATTCATAAAGCATTCCATGAACAAAGGTACACTGTACATTTTAATGCTAAATGTGTAGTCATTGTGTTGGGGAGATATTATACCATTTCTATGTGTTAGTTTTTTAAAAATAATATAAAAATTGCCTTGATCATAACTAAGTAAGGCAGAGGATTAAATGTACAAATGAACAATTTGTTTATCAAGAAAAGTTCCCTTAACCATATTTGACTATTTAAAATGAAAGATTGCTCGGTTTTACACTAATCCCAAGCATTCCATCCTGAAATGACATTTCATAAAATTTATTAGAATGAAATGTATTTTCTAAATTCAATGCTGCAAACCGCTTGGTGTATAAGGCTTATAATAAAAGGAGCAACAGTTATCACCAACTACATTCTAAAATATGTTCCCCTTAGTGTTGTTCTCATTATGTTAGAAGGGAAATAGCAGAACAAGATATGTGTTTCCTCCACACAGCTTGAACGCAGTCCTTCATTTATGTCATAAAGCAGATATGTTATTTATAAACACATCAATCCATTTAATTAATAATAATCAATAGTTATGAATAAAATGACAACATTCGACCCTTATAGGTGAAAACTGGCCTGTCTGTCCTTGAGGCTCCCCAGCAAACATAGAATAAAGCTTTATCTAAAGTGCATGCACCAGACAAAAGTGCACAGAAAACACTTCCTTTAATGGATGTTTGAAAGCCCAGCACCAGACAAAAGTGCACAGAAAACACTTCCTTTAATGGATGTTTGAAAGCCCAGCACCAGACAAAAGTGCACAGAAAACACTTCCTTTAATGGATGTTTGAAAGCCCACCCATTATAATTTATAAATAAAGGCTCATTAAAAAACGTCCCTCAGAGCCATTCAATTTGAAAATGATATATTTTGTTTACTCTTTACCCTCTACAATTTAAGATGTTTTAATTACAGCTTTTGGGACAAGGGTATCATGACCAAACTGTCCAGGAACCATCTATATATAGGTCAGCAGGAATGACCATGTCAAATATGGTTGCATTTTAGTTTGGTTTTCTTGTGATGAACAAAGAAACAAACAAACATAGTCACACTGAGCTTTCTATAGTAGATATAAGTTAGGTTTTTTTTACTCTTGATTTATAAAATTCTTGTATACACAAAAATAAAATTTTCTGGTTGTAAATTTCCATTGTAAGCAGTTGTAAAAACCACCAAAAATGGGGACTATAACTATATGCAAACATAAAGCTACTCTTCTTTTTTAATAAAAGGACTAGTAAATTCTATATACAATTTTTAAAAAAAAGCAAGAGTCCAACATCTTTGAAAATTGAAATTTCTCACTTTAAAAGCTAATATGTGCATTGGTTTTAAATTTAAAGCTCAAGCAATGTCGTAATATATAATTTGCAAACTAATAAATATATTTGGAGAAAATAAATTCTAAGATTACACTAATTAATAATTTCCTTCTTGAGCATACAGTTTTATATCATTTTGTTGACCTATTCATTACCACCCAATATTTGCTACTTGTAACTTCATCCCTGGCTTGGACCAGACTCACATGATTCTTTACAAACATGTCGGTCAATGTGTGCAGCAAAAATTATTTTTTTGAACTTAGTTGTGTCTGTGTGACTTAGCTGGGTCTGGGTGACATTTGTATGTAATGTCTGATGGGAATGAAGCTTGTTACCCTAATCACACAAAGTATTTGATGGTTTCACAATCATTGTCTATCGCGGTGAACTTAAGCTCAAGTTTTCAGAATTTTTGGCTTTTCTCACATAAATTGTTTTCGATGATTCTCCACTACATAACTAATGATTTATCAGGACATTAAGATCTTGACCTTATCATCAAAGCCTTTGAAAATTCAAGTCTGGCACATATTACTGTAGGAGCTGTTTCTTTAATTGAGTGTAATTCAAGTCACAATTTAAGAATATTGAATTTTCAAGGGATTAATCTAACATGCCCATTGCATATCTTCCATTAGTGTAATCTCACTTCTATTCAAGTATTTTGTCTTCCTTTTATTTTTTTATTTTTTTTAATTTATTTTTTTTTTTCAATCCGATGTTATTTTTTCTTAATACCAGTACTTCATGTAATTTTTGTAATTATGTAGATTCAGTGTGCTGCAGATGAAAAAGGTTAAAATCCACTGATCAAGAATAATCTCTATTAAAATTGAAAACAAAAGTGAGTCCCTTGATTTGTAGACTTGATAAGCCCTGTGGCTACTTACTGTGTTTTTCTTTATGGTGCTTTTCTGTAACTGTTACCTTAAACTTAAACAGACAAATTGTGTAAAAAGAATAAGATACATTATAAAAGTAAAATAGTTAAAATTAGAAGGATCAAAATACAATTTTAGTACCGTAAAACAAAGTACATACTCTTGTTCATGAAATGAATTATAATTATAATCTTTTTAAAAAGTAGAACAATTTAATTTTAAAAATCCCTAATGACAGAGTTACCATACTCCAAAACATATGCAGCTATTTAATACAGGCCATCAGATGTAGAATGACATATATAATAATACAGATGTTCACCCATATGCTCACAAGATGATAAATATAATCAGCTGGTAAGAGAAAAAGACAAATTGATTTCAAACTACATGTTTTTTTTCTTCTACATACTGTAATAAATATTTTTTCTTGCGTGTCCATACCAGACAACATCTTTTTAAGTACAAAGAAAATTAATAAAGGTAATAATTTTTATTCACTAAAAACTTTAAACTATGACAATAAAATATGCACATTAAAATAATTCTAAAGAATATCATATTATGTATTGTGCAAGTTGCAAAACTTAGGAGTGCACACACTATGGAATAAATATCTCTAAATGTCAACTATACAGATATTATGTTTCCCTTTAAATTAAAGTAGAAAAAGCAATATCTAAAATAACTTTTCAAATTTTTTAAACGTGTCAATTTTTGGAGCCAGCCAAAAATTACTTCACAGGTAAACAGAAAGAAGCATTTTGATTTTGCAAGAAATTTCATGTAAAAAAAATTAATATCAATGTCTAGAAATATGACATCACATAATTTAATTTTTAAGGGTGGTATAGGCAAATTCAGACATTATCAATATATTTTATGTAAAGAATGAGGACAATAATATTTTAAGTTATAACAAATAATATTTACTTAGGTAAAAAAAAATGATACCAAGATTAATAAATGTGTGATTGCAGTGAAATTTTTTTGACAGTCTGATGATGGAGGAAGGAAGAAAAGGTAATCCATATATAGCGTAATCTCATATGTAAATGAGGCAAAGCATTACAATATAATAGTAATGATCTAATACAAAATTATTCATTTCATTATTTCCACAAATAATACTTATTTTTTTAAATATTCATTTGGATAGTGCGGTTCCTTTTTAAAAAAAAAAAAAAAAGTAAAATTAGTTTTTTAAATGATTGGTTCCCAACGTGTGGTATATGAACCCCTGGGTTGATAATGGAGTTAAAAGGTATTTAAACATCCATTCAATTACAAGAAGCTATGGTTCAGACACAGAAAAGGAGGGGGGGGGGGCTCGCTCATAAAAGACAATATTTAATCAAGGAGTGCGGGAGGAAAATAAAGGCTTAGAGGTGCTGTTCTAAACAATTAATAAGATAGCAACCATTTACTTTAAAGGGGGTGGGGGGGGGGGCTCACTCATAAAAGACAATATTTAATCAAGGAGTGCGGGAGGAAAATAAAGGCTTAGAGGTGCTGTTCTAAACAATTAATAAGATAGCAACCATTTACTTTAATAAAGAATATATTAATCCTCAGAAAATAGCTTCAAGATCCAAACCTAAGAAAAATGAATCAGGAAGTGGGTTACATATGATCAGTTAAGATGTTGCTATTCAAAACTAGGTCACAAACACATAGATGAATTAATAAAATATAGAGCCTTACATCATAAGTCAAACATGACATCTATAAATGCCAACTGAAATTCATTATTACAAGGGATACTTGTTTCATGTGTGTGAGGGTAATTTACACACACATACATAAATTACATTCACGGGCTTGCCAGCTGGTGTATATCCTATCAAAACTAAATGAGGGTTTCACTTCACATGCATGGAGCTGATAAATATTCAATTATCTTATCATGAGACTATATTTAATTGTGTACTTAAATAGATAGACCCTTCCAACTCATTAATCAGCTAAGATTGGAAGAAGATTAGCAATAAAGCAGGTTATCTATCATAAAGGTCAAACAGCAGAGATCATTTGTAAAACTTACAAGAGGAAGCAGCGCAATTACTTTTTACTGCAACATTTAGAAATGTATGTAATAAGAAAATATATTATCTTTTATAAATATAACATTGAAAAACGAATACCACCAATACCATAAGGGAGACAAGTGATTTAAAAAAAAAAAAAGCAAATTCAAAATCATCTCCACATGCATTCTCATATTATGTACAGTAAAGAGTTACTTTTGATCAAACTTAATCTATCAACAAGTCTATTCCAATCAATATGTCTATTTCAAATTTCAATCTAAAATAAGACTACCAGGCATTTCAAGCTTTCTATCTGTCTATTCTAATATATTGTAAATATAACCAGACAATGATTGATTCACTCAAGTCAAGGTACATATGACAGGTCTCATAGTCTTAGAAGAGTATTCTCTTACTCCACAAAAAGTCATAAAGAAGTATTGCAGATAATTAAATTGTAATAAAAATATAAATGATGTGCTTGTATAGTGAAACAGGAGTACATTTTGGAAAAATAAATATAGTCTTTAAAACAAACTTAATGCCTCTGAATCCCATATAATTTTTTGACGATAATATAATCTTATCTATGCTACCTCTCCTTTAACATCAGACTTTGCTCCCAGATCATTTTCTACTTCTGTTGAAACAACTGTTACAATTGAGGCTAATGCTGCCTCAACAGATAGATAGAGACGGTCGCCGTGCTTCTTCCAGAATCCAGTTGATATAAGCATAGGTATGATACTCTCTGATGCTGAAGTGATCAGTACCTCCACACCAACAGAAGTTAGCTCATTGATTAGGAACTGAAGTGCCTGCACTCCCATTAAATCAATAAAAGAAACTTCAGCAGCATCTAATATTAGAACCTTAACATCTGGCTTCCTATCAGAATCTTTCAACAAATTACCATTAGACACATCATTCATTTCATGTGTTTCTCCCTTTTCAATTTTAAACTCTTTCATACGCTTCTTTAACTTGATAGGATTTACTTTCAGTTTACTGAAAACTTTGGAAGTAAATATATCAGCATTGACAAAATAAAGAGGTGTTTTAATTTTAATGATTTTTACGTCTCTCAGAATTTTTGCAGCTGAATAATTATTAATGGACCTAAGTTCTACAGTTAGCGGACTAGTCTGAATCTGCCCAGCTTCTATTACAGGGGTCAGCATGGTTCTTAATATTATTAAAAATATAGAGAAGAGCACGCCAGCAAGTAAACCGAGATCAGCATTCAAAACAATTGTGGCTAAACAAGCAAACACCCAAACCGCACAGTCATATCTAGACTTTCTCCACTCTTCAGGAATCGTTAATAGTTTAAGAAACATAGAACGAAGGTTAACCAAGATAATGACAGACAGTACACACATGGGTAAATGGTAGAAGTATGGTCCTATCAACATGATGACGAGCAAAACCAGACATGCTGCAAATAAAGAGGCAATCTGAGTTTTCCCTCCTGCTCCATCTTGAACTACAGTGCGTGAAACAGAAGATGCACATATATATCCAGAAAAAATACCACATACGAGGGAACAAGCTCCACAGGCCAACATTTCTTGGTTGGAGTCTACAACATAATTGTGCTTAAGTCCCATAGTTTTTGCCATTGCTAAGGTCTGAGCGTAGGCAATCACAATAATGACAATGCCATCTCCTATATAATCAGTGACAAGGCTTAAGTCAGGTATTTTTGGAGCAGGAATTCCAACTGGAATTTTTTTAACCACATCAACCTTAAAGTTCTCATGGAAAAATGCAAACTGAGAAATCAAAGTAGCAATTATCACTACCAGTAATTCAATAGGAACAGGTATCCTCAAGCGTTCCTTATATCTTTCATTTATAAACTTTTTAACCAAGTAGAGAACCAATAAGCTGATGATTGAAGTTACCAGTGTGGCAATATTGGTGTGACCTATTTCTTCCAGTACAGCAATCCAAGTTCGTACAATGGATCCTATACCGCTATACCTTTTTATGGATACTCCAAGAATACTTTTAAACTGACTGGTAGCTACATGAAATGAAATCCCCACAGTGAATCCAGTTATCAGGGAGTTTGACATGAGGCTTGTCACACGGCTCAATCCAAGTCTGGATGTCAATATAAGGAGTATACCAGCTATAATGGAGACTCCACTTGCAACCTCTATTCGTTTGATATTTGTCTCATATTCATCTGATGTGTAAGTGGTATTTGATTCTGTAACAATACTGGAATTTGACAAATTTCCAATATAAGAAGATGTTTCGTTAAGCACTGAATCTGTGACATAATTACAGTTTGGTTTATTCCCTCCATTAACACTCATGTCATACTTCTCTAAGACTGTAGCAATCATGAGGCTGAGGATTGCAATGCAACCCCAGGAGAGCTGTCTGCCAGTTCCAAAAAGAAAGTAAGTGATAGACGAAAAGAATGATATGTAAAGTCCAACAATTGTTGGGAGCGTCGAAAGTGCTGCAAATGCCATCCCTTGAGGAATCATCATAACACCTGAAGTTATCCCAGATATTAAATCACTTGGTAAATCTTCTTTCAGCTTGTAAGTCTTGATGGTTTCAACAATTGGGAAATATCCCAGTAACGTATTCTTTACATTACATTTTGTAATGCGCTTATTTAATGCTAACTGAAAACGTCTCATAACAGGTAACTGATCATGAGGATTTCTAAATGTCTTTTCAAACTCAACCAGTCGTGGATAATGTCCAATGGGATCTTCACCATGGTCCATTTTCTAATTACAAGCTGTGTACTGTAAGTCTGCGTACTGTGGAAATAAAATAATATGTATCAAATAAATATCTAAAATAAGAAATGAATTAGATTACTTTGTGGTTTATTTCTTAAGCTCTTTTAAAACACAAACAACACTAGGGAGCTTTAATATATATTAATGGTCTATTTATAGGATTAGCTTACACAATTTAAGGGTTAAAAAACCAGGAATAATGGAGAGTATCATGCAAGATCTAAAGAAGGGCAGTTTTGTGACTTTTGGAAGCCCCTGCCGCTTTTTTGATTTTGAGCCCTTTGCATTCAAAATTTATAGGCTTAATTTTTACCACATCTCAAATTTGGGCCCCTTTGAAATTTACACATGTATAACTGAAGTTCATCCAATAACTCTAAATTTCAAAAGCAAAAATGATTTCTAACCAATAAGTAGTGTATTTTTTTTACATTTTTATAAAATTTTATAAAGTTCTTATTTCTTAAGTATTTTAGCTTTAAAAGACTATACAGAGGAGGCTTAAAAAGATATGAGTTTAAGTCAGGGCCTCTCTGGACCCCTAAAAACCCCTGCTTAACCCTTATATCTGTTGTTGAAAGTACATGACGACCTGTTGCAGAAGTACTGAACAGACAATCTATCAAATAATTAAAATTTAAGTTATGATAAATTTTTTGAAATGCAAATGTTGCCTTTTAGGTTGCGAGGAAAAGGTTAAGATGGTTGGAGCTTATTTCTTCTTGTACAATTTGTTTAATGGTTGCTGTTTAGGTGCAACATTAAGTTTCAGAATTAAATATTACTCCAGGTGTCATGGAACCAATCGTTCTCCTAATCCGTCCCTACCTGTGCCTCCAGAAGATTTTCTTAAACTTAAAGGTAATTAAAATAGAACTAGCTCTTTAGTAAAAAAAGAGTCACCCTTCAATAAAATATGACTAACTTACTTAAATTAAAGTGTGACATAATCTAAGTAATATCTGTTACTTAATACATTGCAATATCTTGAAATGCTTTCTCCCCCATAGGGGGCGTCCATTAATTATGTCAACAAAATGGGGGAGTGTGTTTGGAAATGTTTGACAGTTGTTGACAAGGGGGAGGGAGGGGGGTTTAGATTAGTTGACGTCAACAATCATGTTTTCTCTATTAAAATTTTAATCTAAAAAAATTGACTGGTTATTACATTATTTTAAAAATTGTATAAGTGTAAATGAGTGTAAATAGTCTTATAATTTTTAGGCTTTTATGGTCAACAATGCCCTCTTGAGCATAAGGAATTAGCACCTGCTCCTCAACAAAAAAGGATTCGACCAATGTGAGAAGCTGCAAGGAGATAGAGAGCTTATGACAATTATTGTTCACAAGGAAAATGCTTCTATTTTAAGTGCTGAATGGTTAGATAAGGATGATATTGACTTGTCTGATATGTCAGTTCCGCAAGATGAAAATGATAAATCGGGCTACTATAGACTATGGCCATCAGGGGCGTCATTTCAGGATTTTCTCAAAACTTGGTCGTTGTTTATTACTGGAGGCGCCACAGTACATAGCAATTTAAATAAAACCTGCAAATTCAGGGGGGAGGGGGGGGGAGATGTCCCTGATGCACATTTATTATGAAAGAGCAACACCTGGCTACTCAATGGGAAGATGATAACAGCTAGAAACTATACTATAATTGTCAGCTTTACCGACAATAATCATATTTATACCACAAACAATGATATTTAGTCTTTAACAACCTTTTAATTGATTCTGCACTATAAAATTTAAGTGTAAAAACTTCACACTTACACAAGCTAAAGATGTAATAAAATGTTTTTCCTACAATTTTGTATCATTACAATAGATCGGCACAAAGTAAAATGTATGTATAAATTCATTTATATTATAATTCATTAATTTATTTATTTAAATTTTTTATTGGGGGGGAGTGGGGGTGTTTAGAAAATGTTGACATAATTGCTTAGGGGAGGTCATTGAAAGTTTGACAGTTGTTGACAGGGGAGGGGGTCAAAAATTGGGTATAAATTGTTGATTTAATTAATGGACGACTGACATGGTGAATGACATCATAAATAGCAAGTGAATGATGACATCATACCATTTATGGATGGCCCTTTTACCTTTTTAAATAACCCTATGCTACTGCAAATGCATCCATAGCCATATGCCTACTTGAACTTGCCTACTACTACTTTAACTTAATGTGGTCCTTTAGAAGTCCAATTATTAATTAGTCCTAGAGAAGTTACATTAGTTTTACTTTTAGTCCTAGTGATAGTGACTAGTGAGATGCTAAAGTTTCAAATTCTAAGTGGTCCTAAGTCCTAAGCAAGAGTAAGACAGTTACAGTTACATTAATAATTAATTATGATTAATTATCATTAGTTTTTGGTCCAAGAGAAGTTTCACTAATTAAATTATTTGGACCATGACTATAGCCATAGCCTAATTAAATTATACTGATTTTTACTTACTAAGACTAAAGTTTAAGTCCTATAACCTATAGTTATTTTATACTCAAACTCAAAGTCCAAAGTAAACATCAGTCTAACTACTAAGGACTAAGGAGGCATACTTACTACTTACTCAAGACTGACTCAATCTGCAAACTCTTAGTTTGTTATGCTAAAAGGAATACTTTTTTTCACCCAAGAATACAGACAATTAGCAGTTTCCTGAAGTGTTAAAAAGTTTAAGCTTCTACTTCTATGCCGACTGGCCCGACGTACAACATAGTCAAGTCAAATCCATACTTCGAGACTTCGTAAGTTAAAAGTAAAATAAAACGATGGCGATGACGCGGCAATTTAAATCCACTATCTCTTTCTTGCACACACTATACACCGGCGTATTTCCTCACTTTTTCTGTAAATTTGCAAGGCTTTTGTAATGCTAATTATTGAAAAAGAAGGATAATATAGTGGGGACCGCGTTAAAGTAGAGTGAAGTGAACAAATAGTGGAACAACATATTATGTTTAAGTAAGCTTGAAAAAAGACCGAAAAATTAAAAGGATGCTTCGATTATATGCACTCTTCAGCAGACAACACAAAACAAGAAAAAGCAAATTATTTGAAATAACTAAAAAGTAGAGTCAAACAACGGCGTAGCTATTTCCCCATGACCACTTTATATACATGCCCCCTCTCAAAAAAAAACAAACAAAACATCAGTTACTAAACTAAAGCAGTAAAGGCAATGAAAACCTGATATTCATAACATCACTTTATTAAGTCCATTTGATAGTTTAAAGATCACTGATCTGATCAATCATCAGCGACAACATGCCTCTACACTATACTTATACACTACAGTGTGTGAAGATTTTTTTTTCTACTTTGCAAAAATGGTATCAATTTCATCAACATCCTTTTGCTTTGCGTGTTCATTTTCTGTGCTGGAATTGCTAACATAATAAATCTTGTAACATGGTTGTTGTTGTTGAGCCTTCTCGTCCATGAGGGGCATCCACCGATCATCGTCGGCGTCTGCGGTTCCTCCAAGGGCATAGGCCACCTACGAGAGACCTCCAGGCATCTCTATCCTGGGCCAGCTTCTCCAGGATCTTCCATTCATGGCCAATTTTCTTGATGTCTGTCTCCAATTCTCGGCGCCAAGTGTTTCTTGGACGGCCTCTTTTCCGCTTACCCTGTGGGTTCCATTTCAGGGCTTGCT